TAAGTGCTTATTCTTGGATATTCTTTGAGTTATGACAGTCTTGCAGTAAGCAAGCGCTATCAATTACACTGGTTCACAGTCTCTCATAACATCGGTTTTTGGTTATACTTTTGGCCACAGTTCACAATTGGGTTTCCCAATGTTGATCGCGTTTTCGGGTATTAGCTGTACATCATTCTTGGCAATCTCGTCCAMTAKTTCATTGCCTTCGMTGCTTTKGTGGCCTGGTACCCAGTAGAAGTAAAGTTGCTTACGTCTGGCAACACTTGCCACTGCTGGTCTGCTTATCAGGATGTTATGCGGTTACTGCCTTGATTGCTGCTTGGCTGTCCCCGTTGATGTTGACTTTTTAATTGCCTGAAGGTGCATTAGAGGCATGCTCCGCGGCTTTCGCAATAACAGAGATCTTAGCTTGTAATCCACTTTAAGTTTGCCTTATGGCTAACTCTGGACAGTATAKTCCTGCAACAACTCCWTTCTATAACTAKCAACRTATACGTATTAAATCACTGAGTTCATGTAGAGAACATAACTTTACCAAACCTTAAATCCTTCCGTCTAATTTTTCGCATATTTTCGGTATGGAGCTTGAGAATAAGGATCACGTGACGCTTGCTTGCGCGAAGAACATGTGCAGAATCCTAATCATAAGTGGAAGACTAAATTTGTATTACAAAAAAGCGGAAATTGTAAAAATAATCAAATAAACAAAGATCTAAGGTATCCAGGAGAGAAAAAAAAATTTTTTTGTACAGCTTTCTTATTATCATTTATAAATTTGACTTGATGTACTTCGCAGTTAATTCAATTTTATTTAATGACCAATTATATACGCTCCACATTCCACTTTACTTTTAACCCTTAAAATAATTAACAAAAAAAAAAAAACAAAGACATCTTCAAGAAGACCTAGTGACTACACAATAACCGAAAAATATTGGTTACTTTTATATTCTTAAAGCCACTAAGTCGTTYTCGTCGGCTATAATAAATTGCATACAAAATGTGGCCTAAAAGTTTTCGAAATAATTCTCTCTCTCCTCACGTTGGATCTCCTCAGTTAAACAATGTATGCTTGAATTTGAATAGCGGTGCAGAAATGTCCACTCCTAAGCGATAAAGGGTTAACGTTTTCATAAGTGACCTACCGTCATGAAACAAATCTAATTTGAACGGTTAGMATTATGAAATCTATCATAAAGACTTCTACGAGATGTGAACTACGAAGAAACATATAAAATGCTGAATAAGTTACCTATTGATGTTAGTACAGTTTATCACTATTTCATACAGCTACAAAACCATCCAAAACGTAAAAGTGTATAATCTGTCTCTTATACACATCTAGATGTGTATAATAGCCTTGGTCGTAGCCATGACGGTTATTCAGGTAGATATTCTATATTACTCTTCTAAAAATTAAGTTTATAGTCTTTCCTCTTTACAGTTGGCCGCTGCACAATTTTTACAAAATGACGATCAATTCATACCGATAAAGATGTAAAAAACCATCACCACTACCACAAGAAATGGAAAACCGACATTCTACTCACAAGAAGGACTATCACCAATAAGAAAAAAAAAGAAAAACACTTTTTAACCTAAATGTTGACTTAGCGCCTGAAGATGTGTTTGATGAACCAGATTTAATAATTGTAAAGTAAAACTTTAAATTCATTGTGTCTACATAATAAACTCATTAACATTATAATAGTCTGTACTATACTGTATATGGAGCAGATAAATTTCAAAGAGCATAGAAGAAACGTATTATATGCAAAAATGTTAAGAAGAAATGCCTTAACAATTGTGTTTGGCGATTTTAACGCCAGGATGGGCCATGAAGGCATCTTTTCTGCAACATTTGGAAAATTGAACCTCAAAGGCGAAACCTCTTCAAATGAGTCGAGTCTGATCGACTTCGCGGGCACTCGAAATATGGTTGTTTGTTCTATTCTATATTCTATTCGAGCACAAGAAATTTCATAAAGCTACTTGACTGTCTCCGGATGGAAAAGTGCAAAACCATATCAGTCATGATGCGATAGATGGACGACATGTCTCCAGTGTTCATAACATCGACTCGGATCATTGTCTTGTTGTATCGAAGATACGCGCGTCTCTGTATAGCAAAGCACCCCCGTCAACAAACGACGTCAAGAAGATAGAATCACAACTAAAAGGTTTTCTATTTCTGCTCTCTAAGAGCACAGTGGAAATGACGAACCAGATTCCCCAGTCGATGTTGATGAAATAGTTGTTCCATTCCGAACTCATTGATGAGATTCAGCAGCAGAGGCCGATAGATTACCGGTCGAGCTGTTCAAATACGACGACGAAGAACTCGCAAGGTGCATGCATTAGCTTCTTTGCAAGATATGACCTGATGAAAGCATTCCGAACGATTGGAATCTAAGTGTGCTCTGCGGTAAAAGTGGACCCCATAATCTTGGCCAATTACCTTGGGATAAGCATCTTTAATATCGCATATAAGATCTTATCGAGTGTAGTGTGTGTCAGACTGAAGCCTACCGTCAACAGTATGGCTTGCGAAATATCCATGAAAGGAAGATCGACAGACATTACCTTATCGTCGATTTTTAAGCCGCCTTCGACAGCATGAAAATGAACTGCCATTATTCCGTTATTTCTGAATGTGTTAGCCCCGCAAAGTTAATACGGCTGTGTAAGCTGACGTTGAATAATTCCAAAAGCTCCATCAGGATCGGGAAAGAACTCTCCTAGCAGACAAGGCGATTCTCTATCATATGACCTCTTCAATCTATTGCTTGAGAAAATGATACGGGCTGCAGATATAAATATAGTAGTTACAATCTTCTTTAAGAGTTTACAAATGTTGTCTTACGAACAAAACAAATGCGTCAGGTAATGAATTAGTGCAATACAAAATATCTCCTGTCATCAAACAAACAGCCGTCGCATTCGCTTCTATCTTGTAACCAGGATTAATACCAACAACAACGTCAGTTGTCTCAAAATCCAACGCAAAATATCACTTGCCAACAGGTGCTTTTTCCGACCGAGTAGACAATTGAGAAGTTAAGTCCTCTCTCGACGAACAAAGACCAAATACTACAAGTCACTCATCATCACCGTCCTGCTACTTTAGACCAATTGATAATATTCGCTGGAACCTTTCACTGGTTTCTGTTTTTTTTCTACAAATTCTGTTGCTATTCCTTGAAATAGTAATTATTCCTTATCCCTGTCGACATTGTTTCGTTTTAGAGCAGAACACACTCCATTGTTGCTGCGGAAATGTTTGCTGCCGAAATGTTTGTTACCGATATGCATTTGTCACATAAACCTGCTCCACCAACATACAATCAACCAAACTCTCTCCAATACTACTTTTAATTTGCAACCGTCGTACACTACTTTTTCCCAGCTTCAGAGTTGCCACCCGCAGCGCTTGTCGGTCAGCACTCAGCACTGAGCAGTCGTTAACATATTTGCATACGATTTTAATGGCACTTTTCACTTCTATCGCCTTAATGCTGCACTTGTCGTCACCGCCTTCACCGATTATTTCACCGATTGCTTTGTCACTGTGGTTGTTGCTGTTGTTGTTTTAGTTATTTTGTTGCCGCTGTCATGGTAGTGATTTGCATTGGTCGCCCAGGCGTCCCGTTAGTCGGTTTTTCTTTTATTGTACCGGTTGTTTGTTGCTGCTTTTGATGTTGCTCGGTCGCTTAGTGCCACTTTGGTGAGTTACAAGCAGTTTGGTATTCTCTTCCACTTGTCGCTTGTTTTGCCATGTGTTGCTCCGCTTAACAATGCTTTTGTAAATCCAATTGCGCTTCTCCCATGTTGCCACTTTTTTCCGGCAATGACATTCATTAAAAATTTCGTCTCTCTCCGGTAATGATGTTAATTGAATTTGATTTGATATGCTGCCCTCTACATTTTGTTCTCTTGTTGTAACTTTTGTCTGCTTCGCTTTGTTATTGCTTTTGCCTTCTTTACTTTGTTATTGTGCACAGCTCTCTTTTAATATGTTTTTGTTTTTGATTTTATATTTGCTTTTGGTCATGTTCACTCGTGTAATTTGCATTTTTCCATTTGCCATTACGGTTCGGAAATTTGTATGCATTTCTAGCAAATTGTTCCATTCGTTCGGGTGTTAAATTTAATTGTCGTCCTTCACGTTTGCCAACTCAGTGAGTCTCGCTCGTGCGAAGGTGTACTCGCTGTGACAGTTGTGAAATTTATGATCGCACCAATTTGTTTAACCTGACACAATGCAAAATAGTAGTTGACATTGATTGGTGTTTGGCCAATGCTTTGCTACCTGCAAAGAAATTTGAATAATTCATTGCTTATTCTTCTGCGTGTGAAATTTACAACTCTTCTTGTTGATTGGTTGTGTTGCGAAAGCGCATTGCTTCTGACAGCAAGCGGATTATAGAATGTTTTGAGAGCGTCAGCTGCTTTTGCAAACTTAAGATATTTTTTGGCTTTATTTCTCTGTGAAATAAAATCGATTGTCGCGTGAAGTTGCTTTTGAGGAAGTAGCTTTGATTATCGTCTTAAATTCAAATTTGATTCGCGTGCTTTGCGTCTGAGTGAAGGCTAACTTTTCGCCTTCACTGAATGAGATTGCAGACATTTGGTTGGGTGTGAGGAGATTGGGTAAATAATGATCTGATTTGAACTGTGGTTCAGGACTTAATTCTATGAATTGAAAGTTATAGTTTCATTTCAATACACTAATATTTATCTATCTATCAAATATATATGTATATCCTCATAATATAAGACGACTAGTGTACTATCAATGACTACTCCGTACCCCTTATTGCGTATAGCTGCTGATGTCAGTATACTGGACCAAGCAGAAATGCTTTTTTCAATAGCCTTTTTTGGCAGATCTCACGTAAGTTGCGTTAAGCTGTCATGTTAATTTTATTCAGTGTACAAAATACAGCTTGTACATGTACTGAAGCTGCTCAAATTTCTTCCCAATGGACATCACTTCAACCTATGGTCACTTGAAAAGTTCCAAAGAGATCCGATGTAAGATATCCAACCTAATAAAGATTCAAGAGCTGGAATCTCATTCATAAATAACAACGGTTCGGTGTAGTTTGTGAGCTGGTGGAATTATTTTCTTCCAAAATGATGACGGCGAAAACGTTTCCGTCAATGACAACGCTATCGGTCTAAAAAATCACTTGCTTCCGATCAATAAGATAACATAAATAGACGAGGACTCGAAGACTCACCTAGACCTAGCATATTGATAAAATCCAATATACTGCTGGGTGCTAGTGAGGCGATGTGATCTCTATTTGAAAACATGGATCCCAAAGTAGTTATCCTGCATCTGCAGACAGCTAAGTAGTCAAATAGCAGGTGTTCTAGAGTTTCCAGCTCTCTGTCGCAGAACCGGCAATTTGCGCAAGAAGCTAGTCCCATATTATATAAGTACTTTTTCAGCTTGCAGTGGCAAGTGTGGAATGCGACAAGTCTCTAGGGTAATGATTACATATTTACACATGCTGAGATTATAACCCCCCATAGCAACTTGGCATGTCGCATGTGGAACTGGCGAGCTCATCAGCCAGTTCATTCCCAGATGAGGTACACTTGTTTACGTTCCGCTTGACTATTCAACCGTTCTCTACACTACTGCACCAATAGCGATTTGATATCATAGGTAGAGATTGCTTTAAGCGCCGCTTGACGATCGCTAAGTAATACGTTATACGTTCATTGCGATAGTTTCGATGGAGGCTTATCTTCCCGCACAGACTTTTGCTAAAGACTTCTGCCTGAAAAATGCTCAAAGGTGGACCTGCAACTTCTACACCAATTCCCTCAGACGTTTTCGAGGAGGGACCACTAGATTGTTCAATTCTAAAGCAGTACTTCGAGACCAAAATCTTTCCATTCAGCCTTGCTGCTAAGGATAGCCTTAAACTTGTGGTGAAGTTTAACCTTTGGGCGCTCAGAAGAGGCACACCTCTCTGCTGTCATTTGGAGCTATGTGTGTTTGGCTACCTGACCGATTATTAAGTGAAATGTTGTGAGCTCAAGCGTGACTTCAAGTGCAGCCGTTGCGCATGTGTGCATTGCACCCGATACGGTTCTTATTGTCAGTTAGCAAAACTAGTAGGTCGTTCATAACAGGGGGGATAGCACTCCACGCTGTGGGCAGGTTCTTGTGGTGCCGAGACGATTCCTGGTATCTCCTTTGTGGTTTCCGCTATTCTGGTGCGCAGTACGGCTTCAATCTGTCTTTCTACAGTGCTTTGACTACGCTCCTTTGAAACGTGTTGATAAAAGCACCTTTGATGTATAGGAAGGTGCATAACATTACTTCCCCTCCTCCCAGCGAACTCTCTATCTCCGAAGTTAACGGGTACAGAGCAATATTCGTTGATCTGCTTGCTCTGTGAGCATATTGGTTCATATGCATCGATTAAATTTTCAGCGCCTTCGATCTTATTTCATGATCCACAAACTTTTCCATTCATTTTAGTAAGCAGGAAGTTAGACTAATTGGCATGAAGAATTTTGCCAGTATACTGTTCACTAACTTGGGTATCAGGAGAGCTGAATTTTGCGAACGAAGCTATAGTCCACAGTAAACAATTGCCTTGCGACTACCCAATCTAAGTGAGATGGCTAAATCAGTTTAGCTAATAGGGGTATTAATCGCTGCATGTTATATTTGAAGTAATAGCA